TGAGTTATCGTATAATAAAAAAGAAGCAGAAGAGAGAGAACACGAAATTCAAACTTTTTGCTTTGATATTTACAGACATTTCCAGAAATTGTGATTCAGTCATTACATAGATATTGTTATAAAAGAAAACACTGTTTAGTATTGTAAAGTTCTGATGGTCTATTGAGGAGATGTTTAAAATACCATTTCGATGAACAAGCCATCCCTACATAGGCAGTGCTACCGCCTGCCTGATAAGAGATCATATCATAGTTTTGTCTAGAGTTTCCTTACTCTTCAAAGGTTTATGGCACAATCTTATTTTCACAATGTATATTTGAGCCTAGAATGTTATACTAGACTAATTTAGTTATATTTAACATACACGGACAACGACTAGTGCAATGAATATAAAATGTAATCACCAGTTATTACCTGCGTAACTGAAGAAGAAATGTGTCGTTTTTATAGATACAAGTCCCAAATAATTGGTGTTAAACATGTGTGAATTACTTTGTTTTATATTACTAGTTATATATTACACTGTAAGAAAAGTTGTGTTGTAAATTAACACAAACATTGTTATTTCACAACAACACAAAGCGTGGTCCGCAAACACAAACTTATGTAAACTATTGTTTAAGCTATATAAAACTAAAAGTTTGGGTTTTCTTAAAACACAAATAATTTGCGGTTTTAATTCAAAACTGTTTTCATTTCAATGTATTGTTTTGTGTGGCGAAGTCACATTTTTATGACTAATTCCCGTATGAACCGTTTAGGAGTAGCACGTGGTTTGTTTGTTTGTAGTTAAGCACAAATCTACACAAACTACTACCTGTTCTGTGCCCACCACGGGTATCGAAACAGGGTTTATAGCGTTATAAGTCCGCAGGTTTATAGCTGTACCACTAGGAGTTGTAACACGCGGTGAAACGAGTAGCTCTTAGTCTGAGGTATTTCTTAAATATTGTTTTTATGCAGTGTTTGACTTTTATGTCACGAAATGCTTTAATTTACCAATATTATCATATGTGTGTAGATTACAAAACATTCAATATAAAGATTATGAATCGTCCAACACATTTGTGTTGTGTTTTGGTAGCCAATAATCTTTATATCATAGCCATTAAAATACCAGGCTTGTTTGTGTTGTTTTAACACAGGTTTGTATAGTGTATTCATTGTAATGAAGTATTCGTATTTAAAGACTCCAAACTCCTTTTGCATTTGGGGGGGGGGGGGGTATATTTGTATTAATGGTTTATTACCAGTGTAAATTCCACACAAGGAGGCTTTTGTGCAATACACTGAAATCAATGTTATTCCCCTCTTCTTTTCATGCTTTTCAAAGTCCAGCGGACAACATCAACTATAGATGCTCCATTTGAGCAACATAAAGACACAGACGTCTGTGGGAGATGTATCTGGTGACTTAACTTTGTTTGCGAACAGCAAAACATGAATTATTGTTTGAACTTGTTTTTTGCGGAGTTAACTTTTAAGTCGAGTTGGGTGTGGCTCGATGAAGCCGTATCTTATTGATGCCCAGTCTAAACAAATATGGTATTTTCTCGTGGTATAGTGGTCCCGATGTTAATCTCACAGTATGCAGAGTATATATTGGCATTTTTCTCGTCTCCCCAGATATTTAACTTAACATTGTATCTGTAATCTGCGAACAACATAAGTCGTTTAGAAAAATACTTGCGATATTCTTTGTACGTTTTAGAAATCTTGTATCACCGGAAAGACAATAATAAATCATCCGGACTTTGTTCCGGGAACTTCAATTGTCACATGCCAGACACCGCGCGTACAACTTTCGTCAGCTTGTGTTCCTTTCGGCTACGTTCATCGGGCACCACTCGTACAACTTTCGTCAGTTGGAGTTCCTTTCGGCTACGTGCATCGGGCACCGCTCGTACAACTTTCGTCAGTTGGAGTTCCTTTCGACTATGTGAACACTTGGTTCTAATTTCGCTCTTTTAAGCCCATCTCTATGTAAATTGTTTTGTTTACAGTTCCAAGAGAGGCGTCAGGACGTTTAACCTGTATAAACGCAATCCATGGAGATTTCTAGAACGAAGGTGATTGGATGCATAAATTGTTACCACAGGTCGTGAATACCTTTCCTATTATTTACGTTATTCCAGTATATTCATTCTGGTATCTGATTACTCAACTTATTTCTAGTGCACATACGTTAATACACTTTGCTCATTCATTGTGCACACACATTAATTCACCTTCATATCTAAGTTTTTCATTGGACACGGGTTAATAGACAATTCAGTTTAACTTATTTCTAGTGCACATACGTTAATACACTATTAACACTTTACTCATTCATTGTGCACACACATTAATTCACCTTCATTGGACACGGGTTAATAGACAATTCAGTTTAACTTATTTCTAGTGCACATACGTTAATACACTATTAACACTTTACTCATTCGTTGTGCACACATATTAATTCACCTTCATTGGACACGGGTTAATAGACAATTCAGTTTAACTTATTTCTAGTGCACATACGTTAATACACTATTAACACTTTACTCATTCATTGTGCACACACATTAATTCACCTTCATATCTAAGTTTTTCATTGGACACGAGTTAATAGACAATTCAATGTAACTTATTTCGAGTCTACATGAGAACGGTAATGTTCTGTTATCATTTAATTTCTCTATTAAAACTGTGATTGCTTGAATATCATTACATTGCACTTCAGTTAATACAATATTACCACTTAATGTTTACTCATTTCAGTGACTGTTGATTATTCCTAGTGAAAAAGAACAAATGGAAAATGTTGTAGTGTTAAAACCTTTTCTATTTCTTGTTGTTGTTGTTTTTCCATGGGCTTTATTACATCAGACGTTTGTGCTTTTGATAATAAAATCTGCCACAATCGTGATAGATTTAAAAAAAGTCAACAGAAACAGGAAATCAACTTGCTGCAGTTTGATTTTTCCTTGATTTTATTTTTAAGAGTTTGAACATTAGAATTAGAAGTGCAGGTAAACTACAGTTGATCTTCGTAATTCGAAAATTTTGCTTTTCAGAGAATTCTTGGCCGCTGGTGCTCCCTGTGAAGTGAACTTAGACAGCAAAACAGTAGAGGTGACCCAAGAGCTCATGAGGAGCCCCTCTCGCTACACATTTGACGCTGCTCAAGAGCACGTGTTCTCACTGATGAAAAAGGATTCCTATGCTCGCTTTCTTCGATCTGATCATTACAAGAATCTCATCAGAAATGCCCAACAAACGGCACAGAAGAAGAAGTAAGACATTCCCTAGTATTAAAAACTTTAGAAAATTAAGTAAACTTTTTATCCATTCCAAGATTATGTCATTAAAATAAATAATCGTTACTGTACCAAGTTGTCAACAAATTGACACAAAATAAATAGAAACAATGTTACTTTACTCTGTTTTTGTCGTGTAATACAATATACCATAATTAAATAGTTCAATAATAAGTCATAGTTCATAGAAAATGTGAAGTAATTTGAGATCACGTCACAGTACACTAACAACATGACGTAAAATAAACTAGAATCACTTTAACTTCATTGTGTGTTTCAGTTTAAACAGTACAGCTAGTGTGGTATTTAAGTAAACTGATATTCTACAGATAATCTATAAGAAGTGCACGGGATTCAGGAAATGTTTTGGGGAAAAATAAATCAAATACGGACATCAACAGAAAAGTCGAATATAAAGGCATACAATAAGAATAGAGTATTTTAGCTACCTAAGTATGTTTTCTAGGATTTTTCTGGTCTATGGAGCTTGAGAAGACACGAGGATCCACGATAATACTGCACAATTAAGGCAGGTTGTTTGGTTTGGTTTGAATTTCGCGCAAAGTTACACGTGATCTATCTGCGCTAGCCGTCTCTAATTTAATAGTGATAGATTGAAGGAAAAGCAGCTAGTCAATATCACCCACTGGCAACTCTTGAGCCACTCGTTTACAAACGAACAGTAGAATTGACTGAAACATAATAATGCCCCCACGGCTGAAAGGGCGAGCATAAATAAGAAAATGTGTCTGTATGTTCATTTTTATTTTTGGCAGAACATTTTTGATTGAGTTATTGAGCAAAAATAGTTTACAAAAATCGTTCCCCATATTAACAGATTGGGATTTTCTGGATTTTCGTGACCTTGCTGTGACCTTTGATCTAGTCCCTCCAAAACTAATCATTTATAAGTCTGGTCATTGTCCAAATGTATAGCAACTTTTTGCCAAATCTATTCAGCTGTTTTCGTGAAATCTTGCTGACAAACACACAAACAAAAGCACACACAGAGGTGAAAACATAAGCTCCGTTCACGTTCGGTGGCGGAGGTAATAATCATTCCTATTATACATATTTAAGGGAGATGAAGCCACAGCTCATACTTATTTATACAAACCACTGTACCATCAACGAACATGAGTACAACCCATATGTTTGGTGATTTTCAGCTAATGATGTTGTTTATAATTCAAACGTGCTGTACATGAGGTAAATGCAGATAGCCACATCGTTTGAAATAATAGTGATTGTGTTTAGTAATTTTTAGCTAGCATATTGAGATATCTTTCAGTTCAGGATATCGTTTGTCAGTTTGACATTGTGTTGACCTAAACAATTATATTATAAAACTCAGTTACGTACATGTTAATGCATCCCCCTCTTAGTGGCTCAGTGGTAAGCCTGCATGCTTACGACGCTAAAAATCGGGTTTCGATACTCGTAGTGGTCAGGGCACATTGCGTATCTTTGCGCTTAACGACAACTAAATCAAAGTTAATAATCAGCTGGTTGTCAAGCTATAATGGTTTTCCTTTTTTGCTTCAACTAGTGAATACATATTGTTTAAAATAAAAGCCACTAAAATTTAAACTGCTCAGTAATTGCTCTCATTGAATGAGTCGTGAATCAATATTACTTTCTGGTATGATCTTAATTAAAAAGTTACCAAATAATTATAATAACTGGTCACCTGGTGGTCTGAAATATTTTCAATAATTATAATAACTGGTCACCTGGTGGTCTGAAATTTTTTCAATAATTATAATCACTGGTCACCTTGTGGTCCCAAATTTTTTCGGCATAAGAATCATTTATTTATTTTTTTACATCGCTTTATTGTTGAATTGATAACATCAACGTGATTACTGTTAGGTTTTTCAATTTTGGTGCTTCAACACGAAAAAAGAGCTCGCCAGCAGCCGGTACAAGCAAAAGGAGAAACAGCGGTTCTCACATGACTAATAGTACGGTGGACCTTAGTTTGACTCGACAGCCAAGTGTAGAACGACCTTTTACAGGAAAACATTCCCACAGTACGAGCGACCTTCAGGATCTAGAAACGCCTTCTGATAAATTGTCGTGTAGTAGGTAAGTTAGCCTTTGGTAGATTTGTTCTTTTTTTATTTTTACATATTCTGAATTATTTTAACATGCTTATGAGTTAATTATAGAAATGTTAACTCTTTTAACTCCAGACGCTACAATGATAACTTCAAAAGGTGACTGTAATGAAATTAGAAGAGTAATTTTGTTTGTTTGTTTGTTTTGAATTTCGCGCACAGCTACACGAGGGCTATCTGCGCTAGCCGTCCCTAATTTAGCAGTGTAAGACAAGAGGGAAGGCAGCTAGTCATCACCATCCCCTGCCAACTCTTGGGCTACTCTTTTACCAACGAATAGTGTGATTGACCGTCACATTATATCGCCCCCACGGCTGAAAGGGAGAGCATGTTTGGTGTGATGGGGATTCGAACCCGCGACCCTCAGATTGCGAGTCGAGCGCCCTAACCACCTGGCCACTGTAACAAATTATTCACATATACACATTTTTGGCGTGTAACATAGTCTTGACAAAAGAGAGAGATGATTTTGAAACCAGTTGAAATTTATTTGTACCTTAATTAAGTTTGTTCTGGGTCATTTTCCTTTGGCATCACATGCACTTTCTCGAGAGAAAAATGTGCTTTACGAATGCTTAATTCAATACAATGTGTAAAAGAGGGCAGTGATATTTTCTACTGGAGGCGTATCGTGCCCTCAGTGACGTACTGAGAGTAATGACATTGTAAATAATGCTATGCTCTCTTAGTCTGAAAAAAAAGGCTTCAAGTAACAAATGTTTGGACAGAAGAACTTTCAAACAGAAGTTGAGATCTCTAGTACAAGAATTGTTGATGAATTCTGTTTGTGTCTCTGTATATTCAATAAAGAATTATGTGATTTCACTGTCAATTTATCTCAGTTCTTCTCCTTTAATTAAGTCAAGTAGGAAATTCAGTTGTTGTTTTTACTCTGGATAGCATTTTATGCCGAACCTCTGGCTATTGAGGTTATTAATTACATTTCTAAGGTTATCAGTTTACTTGAGAATACTAAAAAGTGAGAGAATAAGGGGAAGTTTGGTACCACGACCCCATGGTTTGTTGTTCCAGAGTTTTCTGTATTTTGTGCACTGTGTTTTATTTCTGCATTCGTTTATACTGTTATTGCGAACATATGTTTGTACTTTCGGAAATGGGGAAATGGTATTTTTCATACAAGTGAGTAAGAGGAGGAGTTAATTGCCAAGTATGGTTCATGACCTGAGAATTTGATACAATATAGAGGAAGTTCTCTCCTGGATGTTAGTAATTAAGTAAATATAAACAAATATATATTTTTGCAATCCAAGTCTCTGGTGGGCTTACTTTAGGGTGTTGAGTAGATTGTACAGTGCTGCTGTTGACTGGCATCCTTTCAATGACAGCTTGCAGAGGTTATCTATCGTCTTGGCACAAGCTTACACTTGTTCTCTGCAAGCTCTACTTTCAATTTATAAATTTTTTAACAGCCATTGGATTCTCCGGTTTCCACTCCTGGCATGTGGAGTGTGGAAACCCATGTAACATTTACAGTATATTAATTGGGCTTTACAAGTATTCTGCCAATTACATCACCTCCTATGAGCTATACTCGAACATAATGTAGATTGGGGGCTCCACTGCTAGCCATGGTTGTGACCTTTGAATGTTTTTCGATGGTAATTTTGGCTTAGGGTTTTGGAGGTGTCACTTATTCTGGGCAGGTGGTTTTAAATGGATTCCTTAGTAAGCTGCTGCTTACGTTTCTGTAAGCAGTAGAATCATTGGAGATGAGCCCATATTTTGCTCGTGTGTTATTATCACTCCTGGCATCCCTCTACAACATATATCTTTATTTTTTATTTTCCTCCTTTGGTCTCTCAGTAGAATAGATCTCCAGATCTGCATAACCAAAGGACTAGACCGAAGGCAGTCAGCCTTGAAATATCGGAAATCAAGCCACTACTTATCTCCTTATGCACTTCAACTTGCCCTTTACCCTAAAAGTCAAAATTATCCAAAAATCCCATGAACTTCTACCTAGCAGCTTGGAAGATATGGGTTGCTACTCCCTTTCAGCTGCTGATCTCATAACCATCCTGGCTGCAGATTAGACAACCTTACTAAATGTTGAGAATTGTTCCACTTCCAGTCATGGCTGAGTGCATTATACGTTCAGGAAGCATCTCCTCTTCCAGTGGTTGATCATGGATATATTTAAAGGTTTGTTGTTATGTACAAACATTAACAATTTTGGAGAACAGCTATTAGGCTGCTGCTCTGTATTGCCATATGCCATCTTTACATTATTGAAATGCTTCACCACGCCGAGCATATTCGTACACCTTAACAAACAGTTGAGTGTTGAAGTTTATTCTTTGGTCAGCAAGAATATCCTCTGATACTCCTAAGTGAGCTATCTACATGGTCAGCCAGTTGATTGGCAAATGTTTTAGCCAATTAATATGCTTCAGCTCTCTTAATTAGTGCTGAAAAAAGTGCTGCTATTATCAAAACGTTGGCCACAAATCATCTGTAATGTGATTCGAAGGTGATTAAGCTTTGGCCTTCCTTCTTGTTCATACGTTTGAGCCTTTATACCCACTACCTTAATCTTAATAAGATGTTTAGGTATTTCATAACCTCCTTACTATATGTCCAAGAAACTGTAACTGTATCTGTGTGGGAGCAAATTTTTTCTGCCTTCAGTTCTGGAGTTGCTTGTTGCAAGTATTAAAAAAACATGTCTAGGTTTTCAACCAGGGACTGAAATGCTCGAAAAAACAATAAGATTTCATTGTTGAAGATAATAATAATAATAAACTATTCCCACCACGTAATGTACGTGATGTACAGTTGTAAGTTCTGCCACTCAACTACTGATATATCCCCACCACGTAATGTACGTGATGTACAGTTGTAAGTTCTGTCACTCAACTACTGATATATTCCCATCACTCAACTATTGAAGCTGATATGTACCTGCCACTCGGGTATTGTTAAAGTTTTATGTTTATATATCTGGGCTACTGTAAAAGTGTTATATCGGTATCAAGAACAGAAATATATTCTTGTACAACAACTGCTATAACGGTAATTTGATGAAGTAATAACGACTTAACTGGTGTCCAACTTTATTTCTGTATAAAGTGGTGCTTTTACTATCACGAAGAAACATCTTTAAGTTATACCAATACAGTTTCTGTTTAGTATGAAAACAGAAATCATCTGATTCACAACTCTTAGATTGTAATTTTCATTAGTGTGTCCATCTAATAAATATCTTGGGAGTTTGTTGTTTTATTTCATGGAATGTTTGTTCCCCGGAAAGCTACCCTTACGTAACTAGAACGTGATGATACCCAATATAATGAAAGTGTGATAGGTTGTGGTCTTTGCGACGTGCATGTTGATCTTTTTAAAGAAAGATCGAGAGAAGTAGCAGAAAAGTACGGTTGTATCAGAAGGTGCTCTAAATCCGGTGCCTTTAACTGTTCGTTCAATAATTTATAACTTTTCTGATTGTAGCCTTTCATTTACAACTTTGTTTATCAATTTATTTAAGAGTGGGATTTGGTTGACTGGCTTACACGTATACAGCCACGGCTGTACTGATTTTCTTTATGCCAAATAATACCTTAGTCAATCAGTCATCAGCAAAGATTGTCATTAGTCTGCGTTTAATCTTTGTTTTATGCAAATTTATTGTTAAATCTTAATTTTAATCTAATTAGTGATTCATCAACGTGGTAGTTAACTAAGTTCTCGGTATATTTAGTGTACACTTATGTTGTTATATTTATAGAGACACACCCTTGTCAACTAGTTACAATTCAAGATTTTGCTTTTGTTTCATCGTATCTTCCTGCCAACAGATAAGAATCCATCACTAGGTTGAGTTACAAATACTTAATTTAAATAATTATGACTCTGCCAACAGATAAGTATCCATCACTAGGTGGAGTTACAAATACTTAATTCAAATAAGCATGAATCTGCCAACAGATAAGTATCCATCACTAGGTGAAGTTACAAATACTTAATTCAAATAATCGTGAATCTGCCAACAGATAAGTATCCATCACAAGGTGAAGTTACAAATACTTAATTCAAATAATCATGTACGACATGTTAAGTTTCTAAACAGCTCTCAGACGCTACTAGGAAGAACTTTGATAATGACTAAATCTTATCATCTTTTACCAACAAATTACGCTTATTATGCCAACATCTCATTGTGTGTCTGTTTAACATACATAGAATTCAGTCTCATTAATCACTTAAAACAAAAATGATTTTGCAAGATCCTTATTCATTTGGTTTATGAGCAACTGCTTATAAACTGGTAGTTTAATTACCTAGTAGGAGGAATACTACATTAGCCATAAAATCTATACATTTTTAGTTCAGAAATGAAGTAACCATGATAATTATTTTGACCTTATAAAATGTTTCGTCCTTTATTTTAGATTGTCTTCGCCGTCAGTATCGCGTGATCGTGTGAACGATACTGTACGAAGCACCCTTCAAGTTCCAAGGGGATCTCAACGCATGGAACATTCCAGTAGTTCACTGGATGAGACTAGTTCAAACTTGTCACTGGCTGTTCCTCGACGGACTAGGAACTTGGTCGCACCTTGGGAGTTGGAAGATTAGAATCAAGAGAGTTAGTCACTTTGAGCAGTACACGACAAACTCGCTGTTTTACTCGGTTCACTTGCGTAGATCCTAATACTTTAAGACTTCATAATGTAACAATCAGTGTTGTTATTAGTATTATTAATAATATTATCACTTTCATGTTGTAAATAGTTTACATTGATAAGGAGAGAATTTTCAATGTCCAAGATACAGGTGGTGGTGTTAAACTTAATGTCGTATCCATTCTATCAAAGATTCCAATGACCCTCAAAGTAAACGAGGAATCTGAATGCGATTTTTACTCAGCTAATTAATATCATTCTCCTAATTCCTACAAATCAAAGAAGTCGTCACAGTTTAAACCAAAGCTGGAACGTTTATTTTTGTTCAATACTTCTGTTAAGAAGTGTGTTTCTACAGAACCAATGACGACACTTGAAACTTGTAGAGGTGTCTAGGTTAAAGTTAATGACTGCAACCTTCACATGCTGCATCACTTTTCTGATAGAATTTACCAGTAGTTAAGGTGCTTCGTACGTTATATCGATATATAGGTAATCCAGTTAACTTTCATTGGTGTATGCGGTCTCTATAGTAGATGTTATCATTGATGAAAATGATTTATAGTCTCTATCGATGTCCAAGTTAAAAGTAATTTAGTTAAATTCCACTACTGTGTTGTTCTCTGGTAATGTCTACAAGTAATAGGTGCCTCATAGGTTATAACAATATCTAGATTAAAGTTATTTCATTTCACCTTCATTACACTATAGGTTCTTTGGCACGTTTTACAGATATTGATTGTAAAGATGCCGAGGTCAAAAATAAATAGGTTAACTTTGATTCTTTGATTGTATTTACAGTTAAAGTGCTTTGATGAAAATGTTCAAATTGAAAGTTTATTCAACTTCCTGAAAGGTTTTACCAGCCGATAATGTGCGTTTGAAATTATTCAGTCCAATCGAACTAGACTGTAGAACCCATAGTCTGTATCATTTTACCAACGGATAAGTTATACATTCACATCTGTACGAAAAGCTCATGTTAGATACCACTATGCTAAAATTATAAATCCACATCTGTAGTAATGAATAGATGTATCAGTAATATCGTATATCGCAGTCTATAGAACCCCTCGTTGACATCAGATCCACTGATTTTTTTTTTCTGACAATATTTTATATAGTAATTCATCGGGTTCATTAATATCAATAACACTACCATACAATCGAAGAGTTGCTTGTGTTCCCATAGAGCTGGAAAGTGATGTATTTACTAGTGGTTGGAAGAATCTTTATCTTAAATATTTGGAGGTAGTTTGGTGATTCAGCATGGAGTGGCTGATTACACTTAATCCATTAAAAACTTTGGCCTTGTAAATATAATACTGTGTGTAGAAATATACTTTTTGACTATCTATTTGCTAATAAGCTTGTTTTAAATTGCGAGGTTTCTATATCTGTTATTAAAGAAAACCATTTATCTTTGACTCGATTCTTCGCAATTGTAAAACAAACTTGACGTGAAACTCAAAAGTTGGCATTGAGATATAACTAAAACCTTATACTTAGTAAAGAATCAGCAGTTTAAATTTATGTTTATTGGACAATAAAATACTTGTGAATTTATGTAAACGTTATGATTCATAGATGGAATGAAATTTGAGTGGACAACCTGTTCGGCGAATTAGTGAAAATCTATTTATGGATGTCCTTCAGCAAATCTTCAGTTATCAGTTCACCAGAACAAATTTTTATTCAACATCTCGATTGTAAATTATATTTTATGTTAGATTATGCAACTACGTAATACTAGAAAAATACAGGATTCGCCAAAAGAAGTGTGGGGATTTAAAACTTCGATAATCGACATTATCATTTATTGGTAAAAATAATTAATGTTTATTATTTATGAAGCTGTAGCTCACTAAGGTCTCTTGTAACCATTAAGTATGAAAAATGATGTCCGGTAGGTGTCCACCATAAACTGATACTCACTGGTCTGGTCTAAGAATGACTCCTTCCGTTTCAGAGGTCAACGTTTCTCGCGTGAGGTCAGTAATTTCTGTTTTTAATGTTATCTTTCAAATCCTGTAGTGTCCGTGGCTTGTTGGTATACACACTTTCCTTTGAGTATTCTCACAAAAGGATGTCTGCTACTGACAAATCCGGAGGTCATGGAGGCCAGTTTATGTTTCAGTTACGAGAAATTGCCCTATTTGGGAACAGTTCACGCAACACTACCATTGTTGCTTGTGTTGTATGACAGGTGGCCTCATTTTGTTGAAAACAAAATTGCTACTGATAATATATTCGGAAGGAACAACTTTAACACCAAGTTCTCGACGGTATGTTCTTTAAGCAACAATGATGGAGGTTTTATTCTTGAAATAAAGCTCAACAATAAGAGACCACTGTTGAATTGTCCACCTGCCCATCATTACAATTCAAACCTTTAATCTTCATTCTGAAAATAACAAATGTTTTTCATAAATACTTTGTAAAATCTAATTATATGAAAGTCCTACACTTATTTTGGCGGACCCTGTATAATGAGATCATGACAACATATATCAAGTTAAGGAGACCCCCATTATTAAAATAATCTTTAAAACAAACTTTATTTTCCCAACTTAGATATATATATATAAGTCTTATTTTTTTTCTGTAAAAAATAAACCATACAGCTTTGAAAAAAAATAACACTAATGCGAGTCTATGGATAACTGACCAGATTCTGAGCACTTATAGAATTTCTGCGGCCAGTGTACTTTTAAGTGTGAAAAACGAGAATTTTCGATTTTTCACTTCATCTGTGATTTACTTTATAAATAGGATATTCTATTGTATTCTGATGTGAAAGACGATGCATAGTTATTTTATAAACTTTTAGTGTATGTGTCTAGCTATACTAGATATATATATATATATATATATATGTGTGTGTGTGTAAGGCATCTACAGCATGATAATTTATACCTGGTTATAAGGAGCTTTTTCAACACCAACGAAAGGCGAATATTGAAATATAAAGCTCCGTATAACTTGAATGCAAATACTTGTATCTGTTTGGAAGTTTAAAAGGTGCTTTAATAGATTGTCTGTTCAGTTTTATATTAGTTTTAGCACTCAAAAACCAAGAGACTAGTGTTAAACTATAGAAAACACGACCCAGAACTTGATGTGAATCGACCTGGTTTTTTTCGTATAGCCATGTCTTTGGGCATTGCTTCGTAAACCGAAAGCTGGAAAGTTATTAAAGACACGGTCCATGGAAGAAGGTGTCGCTAGTAGCCTAGTTATGACCGTATAGTGTCATGATTCGATAACAAAGTTTATACTTTAAATGAGCTTGCGGAAGTGGAAGACTTCTACCCACAGACCTTTAAAATCCTTTTTTTCACATCTTGTATCATTATTTAATCTATTCTCTATCAATTCCATTACATTCTCAGTCTTTACACTTAAGTTTGGGTTTATTTTTCCACATATAAAATGTTTTTGCGACGTTGACTTTCTAGGTGTTGTTACCAAACCTAAATCCACTGTTCACCAGGTGACATTAAAGTGTACCTTGAAGCGTATTCCAACTTCATCGGGTTTTATTTTCGAGCAAATACTTGTATATGTTTGGAAGTTTAAAAGGTGTTTTAATCGATTGTCTGTTCAGTTTTATATTAGTTTTAGCACTCAAATGTCCGGATATAATCTAATTATACTAAGGAAGCTGGATGGAGTTCGCTGTTATCATTACACTACCTCATACAGTTGTAACGCGCTTGTACTTCCACTAATATTCATTCAGTTCTTTCATGCCGTATTCTACACGCTGTTTCAACCTTCGATCCCGCTCTTAACTAATCTTATGCTGTTGAATTGTCCACTATTTAATTAAATTACCTTAAATAATAAGCCCTACCATGTTTCAGTTTAGTCCTTCCTTATATTCTATATTTATTCATATCCTGACATTTCTTCTTTTTATATATCTTTCACACTTTTCTCTATCTTCCACTCTATTGGTTTAGTATATTGGCGTCTATCCTCTCTCAATTCCCAGCGATAGTTAAATATATCTGTTAATATTTTGTAATGCCTTTCAAGCTGTCCTTCTATTTTTCAGTCTGGTCTTTGTAGTTCGTCTTTTAAAGATCTTCCCTTTTTATATTTCCTGCTACGTTAAGTCTTTTATTTTATATTCCTATCTATGTTTCATTTTTTAAACTTCCACTAATATCTGGTCCTCCGTTCTAAATTCTCACTTAGTTTTCTATATTTAATTTATCTTCCCACATTTTCTCATTGTTTAAAATCCTCTTTTTCACATTTTGCATCATTATTTAGTCGATCCTCCCTACTTCCAGTATGTTTTCAGCCTTTCCTTTTAAATCTATCTTTATTTTCCACATCCTCAACTGAGTTTCAGTATAGCCTACTGTTTATTATTATTTTTCATTATATCTTTTCGTATATTTAGAGTCTACTTTCCAGTATTCCTTTTACTTTGTAAACACTTTCCCATCTAACCCTCTACACCGTAAAGACATTTCCATCAAGTGTCATCTATTCTTGCGCATTTCCCACTGTTGTTCATTATATCCTCCTGATAATCAACCATATGTTTCGGTATTTAATACAGGATTTTCATATAACTTCTCAATCCCACAGTCAATCAGATATATCGGTTTATAATTCAGGGCTTGTATATATCGAGATTGTTCAACTTCTGTAGTGTTTAAAGTGTAAGCAATACTTTAGGTACGTGCTTATCATGCTAGATAGCTTTAAATATATATATATATAATATTTTTTCAGACTTATCAGATTAACTGGTGCTTATTTCCTTGTTGTTGTTAAAAAAAATTTTTATTGTAAAATGTTAAAATAGTTTATATCACTCTTGTCAGCATATACAAATGTCAAGTTGAATTTTAAAGGACACAGAAAGAAATTTACACCGAAGTCTAATTGTGGGCGTTGTACATTACGTCCAGAGCTGTTTGTTTGTTTCTAATTAAGCACAAAACTACACAATGAGGTATCTGTGCTCTGCCCACCACGGGTATCGAAACCTGGTTTCTAGCGTTGTAAGTCCGCAGACATACCGCTGTGCCACTGGGGGGCGTTCAGAGTTGTTTCTTAATGTTACAGCAAACTATACACACTTCTACGAATTGAAACTTAGCGTAAACGAATAATACGTTTAGTCAAAAATATCACTTTCAAAGATTAACCCATTTTTATGTTACTGGTTATAGACTGTATTTCTTTGTTGCATAATAGGTGAAACCTCCACATGCTTGTGTTTATTTGTAGTGTATTGGGTATTTACCATATATTTAACTGAATAATGAAAAGTGCAATTTTTTTCAAACTCATAATAACAATCAGCAAATTCTAGCTTGACGTTGACACAAGCCTTTAATCGCATTACTTTGATGTAGTCTACAAATCCCATTGCTGACGCAAAACGTTATGTGCACACAGCAGATCAAGCGTTGCTAAATACCGGTTCTAACAAATCATTACTTCAGCACATATTATCTATTTCATACATTTTTATCTTCGGTTAATTGAAGTATAAAATGTATAATAAATTCAACAAGCACTTACTATCTAAAGGCTCATTACATTAACACCTTATAAATTTTAGTTCTGCTGAAGTCACAGCTAATAAGGTATCACCTGGAAATACCATAATTCATTTTTCGGTTTGAAGTCAAAAATAATAATGAAACATAGGTTTGTCGACAACACAGTCATGCTCTTCATTTATTTGGGGCACCAGTTGTTGTATAAAACGTGGGTTTATTTGTAATAAATCACCGAACTAATAACCTTACCAAAGAATGTGTTAAACTTACGTTGTAAACTCGTCGCACTGGGAAAAAGTAGATTAATAGAACACCGAGAATGTGATCTGTTAATGAGTGTGCTAACCGGATGTTCTGAAAAGTGTGAGCTTATCACAGTGTCAGAAAGGTAGATTAAAAGAACACCGAGAATGTGATCTGGTTAATGAGTGTGCTAACCGGATGTTCTGAAAAGTGTGAGCTTATCACAGTGTCAGAAAGGTAGATTAAAAGAACACCGTAAAAGTGATCTGGTTAATGAGTGTGCTAACAGGATGCTCTGAGGAGTGTGAGCTTATCACAGTGTCAGAAAGGTAGATTAAAAGAACACCGAGAATGTGATCTGGTTAATGAGTGTGCTAACCGGATGTTCTGAAAAGTGTGAGCTTATCACAGTGTCAGAAAGGTAGATTAAAAGAACACCGAGAATGTGGTCTGTTAATGAGTGTGCTAACAAGATGCTCTGAGGAGTGTGAGCTTATCACAGTGTCAGAAAGGTAAATTAAAAGAACACCGAGAATGTGGTCTGTTAATGAGTGTGCTAACAGGATGCTCTGAGGAGTGTGAGCTTATCACTGTGTCAGAAAGGTAGATTAATAGAACACTGGGACTGTTGTCTGCTCAATGAATGTGCTAACCGGAATAATAGGTTGTTGAGACTGAAGTTTGACCATCGTATGTGATAACCAAACGTTGAGTAATTACTACATTATGAAATATATATATATATATATATATTGGTGATTTGTTGCTATTGAATAAGCTAACTAGACGTTGTGAGCTTGCTATTTACAACAGTCTCACAAAAGGAAGTGAAAGATTATTTTATTTTATTTTGTGGTTTAAAATGAGCGGTTCCCTTTTATAAACAAAACAAAAAAATAGTGCAACCCATACATGTATTTCAACCGGAACTTGTCGGTCTTTCTCCCGTTTGTTCCTCTCCTCGAGCGCTCGAGAATTGGTTATTCTCCTCTAAGTTTAAAGAAGACAGTGGTATCATGCTATAAGAAAAGAAATGTTGGGAATTAACAGATCTACCTACGGCTTCTACAGTAAAAAACACATTTTAAATAACTGGCCGGGCATGGTCTTGTGAGTAGTATGCCCATGCTGTAAATTAGATAATTCATGGCATGGTCTTGTGAGTAGTATGCCCATGCTGTAAATCAGATAATTCATGGTTTATGTCCCTTTGTTACAGAAAAGAAAAAAAATGCACTCTGCACGCACATTGAGGTCGTGGGCGCTCTATATGAGTAACGGTTAAACCCTATTCGGTCAGATAATAAAAGCCCAAAAGTTGGCGCTAGGTGCTGTTTACTGGCTGTCTTCTCTCTAGTGTGTTATTTGGAAATTAGAGACAGCTATACGCAGATAGAAAACAGGTGAGCATTAGATTAATTCACTGTCTCTGTACAAGGGCGGATCAGTCCTAACAATCGCATTAACTAATATCAAATTATTTCATTTTTATTTTCAAAAGATTACGTCTCTGTAGTTTGTCCTTGCGAGTTAATAAATGTCATTGTTTTGCACACATGCGGTAAGTTGCATGTTGTTGTTTCTTCTCCTTGTTGTGTTTATGTGTTAAACTTTTTAATGATCTTATCGATGACAAAGTAGAATAAAATAGCAAGTGAAATAATGAGCTAGCCAAGAGGAAGTATTAGAGGCGCATCTTTCTTTAGTAATAAGTATATCCACTGGTTGACTTTTGGGTCTTTGTGTACTGGACAGCCTGATAAAAAACTGAGTCTGACCACTGAAAAGATACGATTTTATCGGGTGCGCGTGTGTTTTATTCGAGGCTTAATACTAGGATAATTAATGTTGCCTATCTGATCTCTTATTTTTTTTTATTTAACCTGCATTTAAACCACTTGGTTGTAGTCCTACGCACTGGGTGGTGACTTTGCCAGGTAAAAAAAATTAAATAATTTTATGTGTAGTCCAGAATTTAAAAAAATATTGTCCTGTAAGACTCGGTGTATAGTTGGATTTAATATTTAAAATCCCTGTTACCAAATGAACGTACCATTTCAAAAGGGTATTTAAACGTTAAACGTTCAAATCATATTTTACCTTATTTCAAATATTCTGTGCAAGAAAGTTATATATTATTTATTTGTATATAAGTGTTTATAATTACGGTGATGTATTATACAATTAATTATAATATTTTTTTTCAGTCAATTGTTACGGAGGTACATGTGTATAAAGTTAAAGTTCTGTTTGTTTGAAGTTAAGCACAAAGCCACACAATGGGCTATCTGCACTCTGCCCAGCACGGGTATCGAAATCTAGTTTCTACTGTTGTAAGTCCGAAGACATGCCACTGGGGGGGCGTTAAAGTTGTAGCTTGTATTTTCTAATAATATTAACCAATATGCTTATATTTGTTATCCTTGCTTATATTTGTTATCTTCCTGTTTATTTGCACAAATAAAACAATCAACATAAAAATTCAGTTCAAAATTCTCTGGCCAAGAGCATTGAGGCATTACTAACTAGAGGGGTGCCGCCCCAGTAGTTTTAGTAATATAATGTATATGTGTAAAAAACAGCAACATGTACATTCTTTAGGGAAAAAAATCGATCAAATAAACAGACCAAAAAAAAAAAAACGAAGATAGAAATTTGCCCATATCTCCATAGTTGTAAATTTGATTCAATGGTAACAAAAACTAACTCCTGTCATATGATTATTTGTTAAATTACTGTTAGTTTAGATTTAGTGTTGTTTTATACACTTTTACAAAGAATTGTCAAAAAATACAGTTATGACACATTTTAGGTATTCAGCCGGTACTGGCCTTTCATGAATTTGTTACGGTTGACAATTAACATCCCCACAGAAACGCTAAATGTTGGATTTATTTACATTGTGCTAACAAACTGAAACTAGATCAAGACTACTGTAAAAAAAAAGAAGAATAGATGAACCAACAGCTAAAAGGCGTGATACATGTTTCATCTTAATAACCTTCTATGGACTGGAAACCACCTGACGTGTTTTCTTTTTTCGTTTGATACCTCAGCATAGAAAACGAAATGTCGTCACATCTCGCTCTCCTTAGTTTTTATAGCAGCGATTAAAATGTAGCCTGTAATTCTACATGCTTCAAATGAAGAATTTTCTTTTGCTAATTGGTAAAATTTATGTTCAGTTTGTATAGATATTGTGACGATTACTCACTCCCGCTATTTGTTCCAAATGAAATTAATATTATTTATTAGAGAAGAACGACAACCTGTTGTTTTAACAAGAGTTTCGAAAACGTTTAAGAGTATTATCGTATAAATTTTGACGTTTGTTTTAAAATGTTTATTAGGTAGTCACGATTCTGTTAGCTAAGAATGCACACCCAAGGACTTGTTTGTGCACTCCTATTTCGTGTAATTTAGCGGCACTGACCAGTTGTATGTGATAAGGCTATCTACATAAAACGCCAGGAAAAGTTATAATCTTGATAAACGTTTTCGTGAGAGTTTTTTTTTTTAACAATTTGTTGTTTATAATATAATTGTATAAATATTTTATAGAATTAACATGTATAATACCGATTTTTCGTTTTCAGCTGTCCCAGTGTATAGCTAAAATTTTACAAACTAAACATGAAATATCGAATATAAACAACTGAAATAAACGGTAGTCGGCCCAGGTAAGTAGAGTTAATTTAAAAATCCCAATTGTTATTCATTTCTTGTGGAGCATAATTGTTTAAGAATAGATGCGGTTATTAGCAGCTGTTGGAATAGGAAGTTGTTTACAGGGCCTTGAAGATTGATTATTGTACACGTTTATTACTTTTTCCTGTGTACATAGGTTCAGAATTCAATGTATTTGTTAGAATGAAAATAAAATTAATCCATTGAAAGTGTGTGTTTTATATTCACTATTATTGTAGCCATTTTAAAGAGGGTAAGTACTAAAAATATATTTAATAAACTTTTATAATTAACTTTTCATGGCACACGCGTATATATATGCTGCTCTCCAAGGGACCTTATTTCGTTTTTATTTCCCTTTTTTCTTTCATGTATCGTATCTCTTTTATACTTCTTTAGAGAGCAGTCATCTTCCCACAACTGTCTGCAGACAGTGAAGGGTGATATAAATGTGGGACGTTGAAGGCTTGAGCACCCACATCTCGCTCTCCTTACTTCATATTTTTTGTTTATTTTCGTTCTTTGACATGTGATACTAGCGAATGGAGGTTAAGACTGGTAGACGGGGTATATCCACCGCAATGTGGGTCCTACTTCTGCAATCACCTCCAAAACCCAGAGCACATCTTAACCCACATTATAGCATGTGACCTGGTGATCTTTTTAATTTATGCAGCGTTTTTGTTTTTGTTAAGGCCTGTTTCGAGAGACAAAATGTTTTTCATCATAGGTTTAGGCTTACAGTTTTTAACGCAGTCCTTCCTTTCGATGTTAATTTTTGCTTGACTGTCGCAATAGTGTTTTTGCATACACACACACACACACATATATATATATAGTAGCTTTATTTTTTTAATTAAACTGTGTACTAATAAATTGTTTTACGAAGAATAAAAATATTGTTCAGTTCATATTTTACCTTAAAGAAATTACCGTTTTTTACTTCTTAAAGTCCCCCGAGTACTTCATAGAATGTATATATCAATTTGACTTTTAATTCATGTGAATTACCAAAAATACATTATCAGATGTTGATTAGCATTTGGTTTTCTTTGTTACTGCTATGGGGGGAACTTTAAATGTTTTTAAGATGTTAAAATTGAAAAATACTACGATGTATTAGTAAAGTAAACGTAAAGTTCATAATTATATAATAATACTTATCCTATGATCTTAAAGACAAGAAGAAGAAACCCTATAATCTGAGCGCTTTCGAAATGTAGACCTTTCTTCATCAGGGCCAAACATCAGATCTACTTTTCAAAAACGCTTGGATTACAGACTTTCTTATTTTTGTCTTTAATCAATTTTTTGAACAGACATGTTTTCCTCACCTCAGGAATAATCTGTGATATTAGTAGTAATAGATCAAGTAAGGTAACTGAGACATTTGCTTTTCAGAATCACATATAAACTATTGTAGTACCGATATGCATAACTATTTTTACTTGCGGTGTGGCATGGTGCATTGTTGTTTTTAAAGACATATTGTCTTTTTCCGAGATTTTCAGCAGGTCAAGCTTGAACCAGTTAAAACAAACTTACACCAAGATACAACCTTACAGCTCTCACAGTTGAAAAGGCAAACCATATCTAAAATATTATTCGGGCTGTTGTTACACACAGACCATTTCGTCCAAATCAAACAACGAATAGAGGCTTATAGGCTGCAGGCTCCCCACAACAACCAGCAGAATGAAATTTTTGTGTTTGTTGAATTTTTCGCCAAGCTACTTGAGGGATATCTACGCTAACCATCCCTGATTGTGAAGTGATAAACTGGAGTGAGGGCAGCTAGCCAACCCCACCCACCGTCAACTCTTGAACTACTCTAATCGAACAATAGAATTGACCACCACGTTACAATGTCCCTATGGCTGAAAGGGCTAGTATGTTCGATGATAGGATTCCCGTTAGATTGCATAAACTGAGGAGAGAGAATTATTCTGTGATAGGCCGACTGTCCTGATTAGCACGTCCATTGGTTCTACCTTTCATTAGCAAATTACCCATAGTCGAGTTGAGTGTGGGCAAGTGGTGACATTCATAACATCAATGCTGCATTCCATAATCATTCTTCTCTGAAGGTCTGCAAGATCCTTTGATCTTGGTATATTTACTACAATTAATTATTCTGGGGAACTGGTGGCATTTATAAACCATAATCAACAATGGATTTCACACACAGATTCAGTAGGAGAGGGACGCATTTCTAACTAGAGGGGTGCCGCCCCAGTAGTTTTAGTAATATAATGTACATGTGTAAAAAAAAGCAACATGTACATTCTTTAGGAAAAAAAATCGATCAAATAAACAGACCAAAAAAAAAAAACGAAGATAGAAATTTGCCCATATCTCCATAGTTATAAATTTGATTCAATGGTAACAAAAACTAACTCCTGTCATATGATTATTTGTTAAATTACTGTTAGTTTAGATTTAGTGTTGTTTTATACACTTTTACAAAGAATTCTCAAAAATACAGTTATGACACATTTTAGGTATTCAGCCGGTACTGGGCTTTCATGAATTTGTTACGGTTGACAATTAACATCCCCACAGAAACGCTAAATGTTGGATTTATTTACATTGTGCTAACAAATCGAAACTAGATCAAGACTACTGTAGAAAAAAAGAATAGATGAACCAACAGCTAAAAGGCGTGATACATGTTTCAGCATCTTAATAACCTTCTATGGACTGGAAACCACCTGACGTGTTTTCTTTTTTCGTTTGATACCTCAGCATAGAAATCGAAATGTCGTCAAAAAATAAAACACTTCAGACAATTTTCCGTTCTCTAAAAGGTCCAAAACACAACGTACACTTAAAGATCTACAATGCCGTTATGGACGAGCTGTAATCCAAACATGTTTAGTAAGTAATTCCACTTTAATTTGTTGTTATACCAGTATAATTACAAGTCATTACTATCTTAGATTGTTCTGTAAAGTAGGTATACCAAACAGCACATGCGCAATATAAAAATAACCAATCCCAAAGATACTGATAAGCGTGTTGAAACTTCATACTAATAACATATGTGGTATGATTTATATGTTTATAGTAGCCGCAATTATATGACAAGAAAATCATTTTTAAGTTTATAGCACGTTTAGAATTGAATGCAGCTGATATGTAATATTTTTATTTTTAGATCTGGTTGAGTCGTCTAGGGATGAGTATTAACTTCTTTATCGTGTATAAGATGTTTTTTTGTATTAATTGTGATTGACTGATATATAGATGACTATCCATTTGTTTATAATGCATTGGATAAAATTTGATTTCTTATTAGATCTAAGTGATTCATCTAGAGGTAAATATTAGCTTCTTTATAATGTATAAGAATAGTTTTTTAACCTGGTTGACTCATTTAAAGGAGAGTGTTAACTTTATAATATCTTGAATAAGAGTTTTTGTTATTAGATCTGGTTGTCTCGTCTAAGGGTATTAACTTTTTTGTAATATCTGGTACGTGATATTTTATTACTAGATCTGATTGATTTGTCTGGGTGTAGGTATTAACTTCTTTGTACTGTTTTAAGATTTTTTTTATTAG